GTTTCAAAACAATAAGGCAGTTCTTTTCAGGGCTGTTTCAAAACTGAAGGCAGTTCTTTTCAGGGGCTGTTTCAAAACAACAAGGCAGTTCTTTTCAGGGTTGTTTCAAAACAATAAGGCAGTTCTTTTCAGGGCTGTTTCAAAACAATAAGGCAGTTCTTTTCGGGGCTGTTTCAAAACTGTTATACAGTTTCAGGGCCACTGTTTCAGAGTAGTAGAGGAGCTTACAACAGTCCATAGGGCAGACATTGTGCTGTGAAAGGAAGTTAAGGCGCCAACCCTTTGTGGATTCCAAGTTAGAATAGGTCCCCAGCAACCGATGCTTAGCATATGAAGCCACTAAATGGATCGGGTGGTCAGACTCAGTGACTTGGTTGATCACATGTCATCGTACTCTGATTTATGATTAGTCCAGACTTGATTATTGACCGATGACCTTCATACAGCTGGAATACTGCTGAGTGTGTCTTTAAACAACAAACAGGCCTACTAAAGAAAAAAGAATACCGTATTTTCTTGAGTATATTGCACACTTTTTTTCCAAAAAAACACAGCTGTGTAGAAGGGGGTGCGCGTTATACACGAATTAATGAGTTTTGATGTTTTTTCCCCCATGGAAAGACATTACACTGAGCACGTAACACCGGCAATACCATGTCAACAAGTCCATACTGAAGTACGCAAATTAGTCACGTAATTACACTGTCTGGCTATAAAAAGTGTTCTTTGTATATCTGGCCTTATGTTTGTAACTTATTTTATTAATTTTATTCAAAATTTCTTTTAATATTGTTTTAATTAATTTTGGCGAAATCGTGTGTGAAACGATCAGAAGATCGCACAACTCACCGTTATTAACAGCAACCACGAACTTTAGTTGACAGAGAATGGATACATATATCATAAATGCCATACTGTGACTCGTTAAAAATCATATTTGTTTTTGCTGGACGATTCTATGTCAACACATAATTCTCGCGATCACGTGCACGGGAGCCTTGACGGTGACTGGTCAGACTGGTTCCATGTAAAAAATAATACGAGGCAATAGCGATCAGCTGTTTCGCTTAGGGTTATTATTATTTTAAATATGTTTAGTAAAAGCTGCATCTAAATTAACAAGATATTGGAATATATTATTCCAGATAAAAAAAATAGTTTCAGATACAATTTTTGCCGATCCTTGCATTAAAATCCTGTAAAGTTATATCATTGGGTGTGTCTTGACCGAATCACCGGTAGATTCCAAGAAAACGTGTGTACAGCTGATTGCTGTGTCCGGCTTAGTTTACGAGAAAATACACAAGGTAATCTTAATCCCTGGATATAAAACAATGCCTAGAAGAACAAAAAAATACAATGTTAACGGTAAATCAACATGTGTGGTGATTTTTTTATCTCAAATTTCGAATTTGTACTGACCAAATATACTGGACTTCGCTAAAGGGGTATGGTGTAAATTTGTTTCTGCGCTTGGTATCCGAATTTATTTATTTTCCAAAATATTGAATCCGCTAGAGGTGGGTGCGCATTATACTCAAGAAAATACGGTATGTGTTTTCAAGAACATAGAAATGGGTATGTTCTTTGTCTATTTTGCACACTTAAACTATTCACAGGATGAGTATGAGTCGACAACGTATTCAGAAAACAAGTAACGTATTCAGAAAACAAGTAACGTATTCAGAAAACAAGTATGCATACTCATACTCAACCAAGCAAATAGTTCTAGTATGCAAAATCAACCCATATTTCAGCTAGTTGATATTTTAGTGTGCGAAATAGACAAATAGCAGGCAAATTTCTGTTTTAGAACACTGGTATTTCTGGTATATCGATGATCATCATATCAATCTGGTCAGACTTGATAATTTGCAGACCGCCGTCATGTAGTTGGAATATTGCTGAGTGCGGCATTAAACAACAAACCAGCCAACCTACTTCTAAACCATGACTTGGTGACTCTACAGCTTCATTGTCATTATTGATCGGATTGAAGATTAGAGTCACATGTGTTTCAAAGTCCAGTAAAGAAATTGAAATGAACTTGTAAGATTCAACTTCCAACATTCCTTGAAGTTTGTTTATGTCCTCACAGCTATTTTGGCCTCTGTCAGTGCAGTAATGTAACCAACCTTTGATCACCTTCTTTAAAGCAAGCAGAAGAGAGAGTTTGTTTGCTCTCCGTCAGAATTTAATAGGAATAGAATCTGGTTAGATGGTTTTATGACATTGATTCACTGCTGGAATGTGATAACTGTAAGGTAAATATGTAATGGGGCCAAATAAATGAAATAATAAATTCAAAATGATTTATTAACCAAAAAGACATTGATGAGATGTGTGCCTATGACTGTGCTGAAACCGCTGGAATTCGGTTTTGCACTTGATGTCTCTCTTTGAAGTCTGATCACATATGAGGTATTGATAATCCTTTCGCAACGGTTACAGCCTAAGTTAAAGAATAAAAGAATTTGAGTAGTTTCCAGTCTTGAAACTGATTTAAATTTTGCGTCGCATGTTTATAGTTTTTATTGGACCAGTTGTCTCAGTCACGACAATTCACCGTGAAGAGTTGTCTCCCTTAGGAATACCAGAAACCTATTTGCTCATGGGTTCGAAACACAGAATCAGCCCAATTACATATCTTGATTTGTCAGCACCACTGCCATGCTTGTGGGTTTTCACCAAAGTGGACAGTGTCTAAGACCTTCATCACATCAGGCTTTCCTCCCACATCACATGATATGGTTGAAATATTGCCGATGTGACTATAAATATTAACTGAACCCCCATCAATCTGACACACTGTGATATAACTGACATACTGCCCAAGGTGGCGTTAAGCAAAACTTATTTAAACACTCAGAATAAATTTGTTATTTTGATGGAGGACAGTGTTTTAGGTCAATCCAGAAAGGTTCAAAATGACAATGTTTGAAACCAAAGAATATTCTCTGAAGAAAGCTGTACTATTTTTCAGCCATGATTGTAAACAAAAGAGAAAAGAGGAAAAATTTCTCTGTATTAATCTCTTTGATTTGCCCAGAAATACACATTCACAATATCTGCCTCATCTCCCAGCTTTCTGTTCTATTTTCAATGATGGAGTTAATTGTGATGTCATGTTATATTGACATTTTCTTCCTACTTTACTTTCCCAGTTATTTCAGACCTCTAGATTTCCATAATTCATTGTCTGAATCTAGCTTTAGGACCTTATGTGACTGTAAATTAACTAATGATATTTTGATAGGATACACTGAGTATATAACAATACCGCTCACTAAATAAAACTGGGTGTGCAGCGCTCAGACTGAGGTTGCCATGGAAACTAGAATCTGTATTCAAGATTGGTTTTGATTTTGTTAATATGTCATTGCTTCCTACTATGCATTAGCTCTTTCATTAGCAGGTTATATTTGATGATGCTAATTTGTCACTGATGCCATTGATTCTGTCTGGTAATGATAATTCTCTCCTACTGCCTCAAAATTGATAACAGACCCAGTTTTAAGAAAATCATTTCCAGATGAGATTAGTTCGAGTCAAGTAGTTTTTCCTCCTGTGGTTTATGTCCATTAATTCATGGCTTTCAGGTAATTGATTACATCTTTACAACATATATTGTTTTCTCAGGGCCTTTTCTCAATGCCTTTTCTCAATGCCTTTTCTCAGGGCCTTTGTTGCAATGTAGGAATTGGGTGGCTCAATCGCTTGTGCGACTTACTGTGTGAACTTACCCTGCGATACAGGTGCAGACAGATCATGGTGAGGTGAAATGGGGTTTAACCTCATTCAAGATTATTTTACTTATAGCAGTGTGCATACATGGATGCCTTTATTATCAACAGGGGGACCCCTGTGTCAGATTGTTAATGTTAATATCCATACCATGAAAATATAAAATTTTAAAAATACCTCATTGACATAACATATATATGCAAATGAAGCTCCGAAATTACTTAGTTTTGGTGTTTCATTGTGATTGTGTCATTGTGACATCACAGTCATAAAACAACACCGTGATCAGACATACCATGTCACACACTCACACACACGCACGCACGCACGCACGCACGCACGCACTCACGTACACACGCACGCACGCACGCACGCACACACGCACACACGCACACACACACACACACACACACACACACACACTGCTATTCATTCTACACATTTGTCCATGAATTCATTGCTGTTGGTGGGAGATCGATATTTCAACTCACAAATGGATTCCTATTTTTCTTGGGCTGCTTAGTATAGGGTATTAGGGTTTTTATTAATAGGTAAACCAGGTATTGGAAAACTGGTCATGTCACAGGTTATGGGGATTCACTAAATTCAGTAGAATTCGTTATTTTTTTTAAATGTCCGTTTTCCAAGACTTTCCAACACAAAACTTACCAATTTTTCTAGTTATATCATTGACAGAATTCATCACTCATGTCTTTCATATCGGAATAATCAGTCTGACCTCATTAATCAATTTTACCAAAGCCTCTACAAATACTAATTAACTAAGACAGTAGCTTGATATTTCTCAGATGATAAAACTCACGATAACCTCCCTAGCTATGATATTGTGATGGTGGTAGTGCAATTTACAGCAGACTGATTAAATATGAGGCATGGACGAAGAGGGGAGCTGTGACCTAGCACTCGTCTAGTCGAGCCACGCTCTTGTTGCATCAGCTAGCTGGACCAGTTGAACTTGGAGATGCTGAGGGATGTTGTATGTTTTTATCATGATGATAATATATCAGACCAATGGACAGGAAACATTTCCTTGATTGGCCGCGATGTTCTCCTTGTCAGCAATTGGGTTCACTTGTACTAGGAATGGAAACTTGGCTTCTCACTGCTGTTGTTGTAGTATGTAGGAGTATGTCCTCCCCAGTCCAACATGTCAAAACCTCCCCAGTCTCATGTGTCAACCTCCCCTGTCTCATGTGTCAACCTCCCCTGTCTCATGTGTCCACCGACCCTGTATCATGTGTCAACCTGCCCTGTCTCACGTGTCAACCTCCCCCGTCTCATGTGTTAACCTCTCCTGTCTCATGTGTCAACCTCCCCCGTCTCATCTGTCAACCTCCCCAGTCACATGTGTCAACCTGCCCTGTCTCATGTGTCAACCTCCCCTGTCTCACGTGTCAACCTCCCCTGTCTCACGTGTCAACCTCCCCTGTCTCATGTGTCAACCTCCCCTGTCTCATGTGTCAACCTCCCCTGTCTCATGTGTCAACCTTCCCTGTCTCATGTGTCAACCTGCCCTGTCTCACGTGTCAACCTCCCCAGTCACATGTGTCAACCTCCCCAGTCTCATGTGTCAACCTGCCCTGTCTCATGTGTCAACCTCTCCTGTCTCATGTGTTAACCCTGTCTCATGTGTCAACCTCCCCTGTCTCACGTGTCAACCTCCCCTGTCTCATGTGTCAACCTCCCCAGTCTCATGTGTCAACCTCCCCCGTCTCATGTGTCAACTTCCCCAGTCTCATGTGTCATCCTACCGTCTCATGTGTCAACCGCCCCAGTCTCATGTGAGAACCTCCCCCGTCTCATGTGTCAACCTCCCCTGTCTCATGTGTCAACCTCCCCAGTCTCATGTGTCAACCTACCGTCTCATGTGTCAACCGCCCCAGTCTCATGTGAGAACCTCCCCCGTCTCATGTGTCAACCGCCCCAGTCTCATGTGAGAACCTCCCCCGTCTCATGTGTCAACCTCCCCTGTCTCATGTGTCAACCTCCCCAGTCTCATGTGTCAACCTACCGTCTCATGTGTCAACCGCCCCAGTCTCATGTGAGAACCTCCCCCGTCTCATGTGTCAACCGCCCCAGTCTCATGTGAGAACCTCCCCCGTCTCATGTGTCAACCTCCCCTGTCTCATGTGTCAACCTCCCCAGTCTCATGTGTCAACCTACTGTCTCATGTGTCAACCGCCCCAGTCTCATGTGAGAACCTCCATAGTCTCAGGTGTCCGAACTTCCCTTGTCGCATATGTCACAATGTTCAGTCTCCCCAGTCTCAGGTGTCGGAACCTACTTGATCTGTATGGGGCATACGACCCTGGACATTTTGCCTCACAGGCCCGATCAATATCTCAGTGTAGTACACTAGAATGTCGTTTTGTAGCATGTCAGCCCAGTAAGATGGCCAATTACCTCTGCTGACCAGGAAGAGTAGGTGGTACACAGGCAGCTCATTGTTTTATTATCTTAACACTTTTGCGGATGAACAATGCTGATCACTCCGGTCATATTGGTGGAGGAAGGTCATATGTCTTCTGTGAAAACGTTGTGATAGAGTAAGTGATTTGGGTTAAATGGCACTTTGAACAGTACTTCAAATATACTGATGCAGGTTGATGGCCTTCACCATGAAGGTGAAACACATGACCATGTGCTTGGTACTCACAGAGCAAGGATAATAGTAATCTATGTCTCAAATTGTGCCATGTCAGACTATTGCAAACCCCTTTCTTCCCCTTCCCCCTTCCCCCCTCTCCCCTCTTCCATCTTCTTCCTTCTCCCTTTCTTCCCCTCCCCTTCCTCCCCTCCTCCATCTTCTTCCTCCCCTTCACCCATCTTCTTCCTTCCCCTTCCTTCCCCTCCCCTTCCTCTCCTCCTCCATCTTCTTCCTCCCCTTCACCCATCTTCCTCCTTCCCCCTTCCTTCCCCTTTCCCATCCTCCCCTCCCCACATTCTTCTTCCCCTTCACCCATCTTCCTCCTTCCCCCTTCCTTCCACTCTCCCATCCTTCCCTCTTCATCTTCTTCCTCCCCTTCCCCTCCTCCATCTTCTTCCTCCCCTTCACCCATCTTCCTCCTTCCCCCTTCCTTCCCCTCTTCCATCCTTCCCTCCTCATCTTCTTCCTCCCCTTCCCCCATCTTCTTTCTTCCCCTCCTCATCTTCTTCCTCCCCTTCACCCATCTTCCTCCTTCCCCCTTCCTTCCCCTCTCCCATCCTCCCTCCCCACCTTCTTCCTCCCCTCCTCCATCTTCTTCCTTCCCCCTTTCTTCCCCTCCTCATCTTCTTCCTCCCCTTCCCCGATCTTCCCCCTTCCTTCCCCTCTCCCATCTTTCCCTCCTCCATCTTCTTCCTGCCCCCTTCCTCCCATCTTCCTCCTTCCCCCTTCCTTCCCCTCTCCCATCCTCCCCTCCTCCATCTTCTTCCTTCCCCCTTTCTTCCCCTCCCCTTTCTTCCCCTCCCCATCTTCTTCCTTCCCCCTTCCTTCCCCTCTCCCATATTCCTCCTTCCCCTTTCCTCCCCTCCTCCATCTTCCTCCTTCCCCTTTCCTCCCCTCCTCCATCTTCTTCCTTCCCCCTTTCTTCCCCTCCCCATCTTCCTCCTTCCCCCTTCCTTCCCCTCTCCCATCCTCCCCTCCCCCATCTTCTTCCTTCCCCCTTTCTTCCCCTCTCCCATCCTCTCCCATCCTCCCCTCTCCCATCTTCCTCCTTTTACCTTCCTTCCCCTCTCCCATCTTCCCCTTCCTCCCCTCCTCCATCTCCCTCCTTCTAACTTCCTTCCCCTCTCCCATCTTCCCCTTCCTCCCCTCTCCCATCTTCCTCCTTCTACCTTCCTTCCCCTCTCCCATCTTTCCCTTCCTCCCCTCCCCCATCTTCTTCCTTCTACCTTCCTTCCCCTCTCCCATCTTCCCCTTCCTCCCCTCCCCCATCTTCCTCCTTCTACCTTTCTTCCCCTCTCCCATCCTCCCCTCCCCCATCTTCCTCCTTCCCCCTTTCTTCCCCTTCTCCCATCTTCTTCCTCCCCTTTCTTCCCCTCCCCATCTTCTTCCTCCTACCTTCCTTCCCCTCTCCCATCTTCCCCCTCTCCCATCTTCCCCTTCCTCCGTTTCCTTCCATCTTCCTCCTTCCCTCTTCCTCCCCTCTTCCATCCTCATCCTCCCCTTTCTTCCCCTTCTTCCTCCTTCCTTGGTCTCCTCCCTCCTACTAGACATTAAGGCATTTGAAATCCTGTGATTTTGATCCCCTCCACTTGTTATTCAATAAGTGAAGCTAAGTAGTATGTGTTCTGTGCTGGCTTAAGGAGCAGTAATATTAATAAATCTGATTACATCCACATATACTGTTTTAGTTTCATCTTAGGATGTTTCAGGAAATCATTGCAATGACACAAATTGTATCTTAGTGTCTGGGCTGATGGGGTAGCCTAGTGGCTACAGTGTTCGTGCTGAAGATCCGGGTTTGCCTCCAATCATGATTATGATATGTAAAGCCCATTCTTGTAGTGTCTAGCTGTGATAGTGCTGAAATATTGTTTGAAGTTACATCCAACTTTCTCAATTTATTTCTAACCCTTCTAAAGCTGTTTTCGTACTTGTTACAGGGTGTTGATTGAAAAGAAAGACTAGACCAAAAAGACATGTTGATCATAATAGTGGTAAAAATATAGACAGGCTTTGTGATGAGAGCTCAGAAACCATTATTATGTTATAAATGTTTCGACCACATTAACGAAGCGTTAACGTGGAATTGATTGTTAATAGAGAAACTATCAATCTTTGACACTAGACAAGAAATCAGATTTTGAAAACATTGACTTCCATCCCAAATTAGAATCTGGTTATATGAAGTTATTTACTTTCGATATTTTGTTTCAAGCTGTGTTAACATGATCCCAAAACATCTTTTCGAAACAGGTATTTGGCAATTTCCTGAACCGAAACCCATGTGTATTTGCCAGGTCGGAAGGATAGCCAATGTTTACTTCAGTAGTTTGGACTGACGTCATAGATACACCATGAGATTGCTCACTGTCTTGCCTCTACGGGGAGCAAAACATCAGTCCGGAGACACGATAAAGGAATCTCGAGAGAAAGACTAAATTAGAGTCCATGTCGATTTTGTGTCGGTGTCCCTCTATGTGAAATAGCTTGTAGGTTTCACTTCCCTTCCATCATAGTATTTGCTGGTAAATTGGTGAGTAAATAGATCTTAATGGTTCTCTGTCAGAGCCACTAGCTCTCAGCTCTGGAGATGGAGTGAGGATATTTGGGGAAAGATTCAAGGTAATTGAGATAAACATTGTATAGATATTTCAGCTCCAATATCCCACATGTAAAGTCTGCTGAGGTCTTCCCCACTCCTTGACAAACTCTCAAGCTAGTCTTCGGAAACCTTTGAATAAAAATCAGGTTTGGAAGAGACGTTTGGTGTGTTCAGTTGCCCTGACTTGAGTTCTTTGCAATGATTTTTTACACAGCATTATTGGTACTCTATCAAATCTCTTCATCCTGATGGTCCAAATTGATTATCTTAACTTTTTTGTATTCCCTGCGTCACACATTTTAAAAACAGTTTCATTGGAAAGGGCCATGGGTGGCCATGTCGTCTGAGGCACCGCAATTTGCTGTGCAGAGTTGCGTCCCTTAGGCACGCCAGAAACCTATGATTGTGTGTTGGAATCCTGTTTCGCCCAATTATGTTTGTCAGCACCATACCTGTCCTCGTAGGTTTTACCGAAGTTGTAAATGTCTAAGACCTGCATTACTTTGGGCTTTTCTCCCACATTAAGCTGGTACACCATGATATGACTGGAATACTGTTAATGGCGACATTAAACACAACTCACTCCTGGTTTCATTGGTGCCCCCCTGTCCTTCACCTTGTATTTCCTCTGGACAAGTTGTTTTATGTTAGAAGTTTGCCGGTACCACAATTATGGTTGCAGACAGCACGGAGTACGCCCTGGATGTCGTATTGACATTGTAATCACATCAGTTGGACAACTCCTCCACACTGACCTTTACGTGTTTACCCACTGTCACACACGTCATGCGGTCAGTTGGATTAACTTACGATCACCACATGGTGTCTGGGGAAGTGTTTAATCATTATGTATGTCTGTCAAATCCTAGCAAGGAAATTGGACAACTTTAGGATTGTGATACAACAATCAGGTTGAATTACGTGTAAATGTTCTGGTTGTCAACACGGATGATTGTGTGTAGGTTTACTTTGTTTCAGATCGATTCATTAACGTAACATGCAAGTCTCAGGTTTGTCAGTTAGCTGAAGACGGATATGTTTTATACACTGTTCAGTTGAAACACACTTAATCACATTATTTTTACTCAGTTTCAACTTTTTTTGTATTTTGTTACAAGAAGATATCATCCTTAGTTAGTTTTTTAACTTAAAACCATGATGATGATGTCATGCCATTGAATCAAACCGCCCCTTATTATTTCTGGGGGTAGCACGGGTGGCCCAGTTGTCTAAGGCGCCGTGATTCGCTGTGCAGAGTTGCGTCCCTTGGGCACGCCAGAAACCTATGATTGTGGGTTCGAATCCCGGTTCGCCCCGATTATGTTTCTAGGTTTGTCAGCACCATACCTGTGCTCATGGGTTTCACTGAAGTGATAAACGTCAGACCTGCATCACTTCGGGCCTTCCTCCAACATTAAGCTGACACGCCGTGACATGACTGGAATACTGTTAAAAGCGGCGTTAAACCCAACTCACTCACTCACTATTATTTCTGGGTTAAGAATAAACTGAAATGTGCATAGTTTGGTACATGAGAACATGTCTGTATCATTAGGTAGTTATTGGTTCGAGTTTTGTGTTATTATTGATCAACATAAAAGCTCTGATATGGACATAACAGCTCTAATATTGACATTATGCTGTGGTATGGACGACATATTAAGTAAACACACACCTACGCATGTTATGGAGAGACATGGCTTAAACAGGAAATTTTACAGTGTATGACAGTGTTTCAAAAAGCAGTTGCAGATATGTGATAAGACAGTATTAGCCAGTGCGGTGGGGTAGGCTAGTGGTTAAAGCGTTCGCTCGTCACGCTGAAGACTCGTGTTCGATTCCGACATGGGTACAATGTGTGAAGCCCATTTCCGGTGAGCCCCCCCGTCATGATATTGCTGGAATATTGCTAAAAGTGGCGTAAAACTATACTCACTCACTAACTCAGTATTAGCCACCACTTGTTTAGACATGAAAGGTATGACAAACCCCCATCTGTCATAACACATCAGATGCATCTACAGGAAGCAATTGGACCACATTGGCCTCCTCCCTGGAAGGCCCTTGATACTGAGTGCACGTATTACTTGTCTCTTTGGGGGGATGTGTATTTATAAAGTGTTTATTTTGTAAATTTGAGGATTGAAGATTCTTTTTCAAACTGTTGTGTCTGGATGTAATCACTTGAGACATGTATGTACCATGTAACCTGCTGCTTTGATCTTGACTCACTCTTGAAGAGGGAAGTCAAATTGTGTGTAAAGCGTGTAAGACGAAGACCGAAATAGCACCTCGCCTGTCCAGGGGGTACCCCTCCCCTACCCCCTTTCCACATCGGTTTGCTCCCTCTTCAATATTTCAGCTGCTAGATTGGCAGGCTGCCAGCTGATGGAAAGTAGTCTGTCATACAGACCGTGAAATAAATATTATCCCCTGTAAGTCTAGATTACTGCAGTTTCAAATGAACAGCCTCTGGCCTCCTTTTTTTATTATGGGTCATTAAGATAATTGAACAACAAATTTTTCTCTAAAATATTTTCATTTCAGAGACTAGGTGTTAGTCTAATGGGAAAGGAACATGGTTGAGAATGAGAAAATCTTGACAACTTTTCTTTAAAGATTATCATCTATTGTTATTGAAATAGGATTCAAACATTTGAAAACATTTGTTTACAAAAAGTCTGAAGACCAATTCTTAAATTTGTTCCTGAGTTATTGATTTATCTGTCATGGATAAAAAATCAGTTGATCAAGGGAAATAATGCCTTAAATAAGACTCGCTGGAAACAATAGCACATGGAATTGGATGTACAAGAGTTACCTTTCCTTGGTGTGTCGGCCATTGGCCCTACAGTTTCATTGTTGAAATTCACAAACAAAACCAAAAGTATATTGACTGATGCACCAATGAAAGCATGGGTTTAACTTACTTATTACTTACATATGGCGAGTAAACATTTATTTATATCAGGTGTTTATGGATCACTGCTGAAAGTAACTGAAACAGACATAAAATATTGATAACAAAATGACAATCATGTCTTCTTCATCTGATCTGTACCAAAAACACCATACCAGACATACCACACATACCACACATTACTTATGCTGTTCATTATGATCTGGTGGAGAATCTGGGTATCACTTCAGCAGATGATTGCCTGACTAGTAGAATGGATCTTCTATTGTCTCTTGCAGTGTTGTAGATATTGGAGATGTATCACTCTGTCTGAAATTCCAGGATCTTGGTTGGGGAAGCACTAACATTGGGGAATAGCTAGTTTGAAATCTTGAAGATAGATTCTTCAAATGTTGATATTAGTAGTCTTGATGGTAGAGTCCTAATTGCTGCTTGTCATTGACGCTTCTTTGGTCACTGTAGCTGCTTAGGTACATAGGGAAAAGATTGATATGCAGTCAATCATACCCCATTTCACTGCCATACTGTTGACGCGAGATATTTTGTAAATATTGTGTTGACAGCTTGGTACTTGAAATGACTGAAGCCAATGAAGATGAAGTTCTTGTAAATATGTTTTATCATAAAAAACTTGCTCCCCCAGGAGATATGCTTGGGCAAGATCAAGTGATATCTACATTGTAGATATCACTGCAATGAAATTGCATCACAATGCTTTGCAGACCATTGTGACATCATTGGTTACCATGACATCACAATCAAATGACATCACTAATGGCTCTGCTACTGAAGCTGTTAGCGGTACTTTTTACACTAAGACACTGCTTTATTTACCATTCATTCATTAATGTGACGTTAAATTTCAACTCGCTCACTTATTGTTGTTGACAATTTCAACAAGATGAAATTAAAGAAATATGCTGAACATTTTAAGTATAGACACCTTTGAAAGTTTCAGCACCTAGTGACATGTTGCTGAGCACTCTGATCCTGACTTTCATATGAGACTATGAATGCCGCTATGAATGCAGATATTGTTGTAACTGCCGCTACCAACTGTTACGTGTGAATGAAACGTGGGAACAATTCTGCAAGATGTTGCATCGTCATATACAAATTAGGTCAATATAAATGTCATCTGGTGCATTCACACCATGGCAGTTTTCAGTATCAGTTGTGACCGTCAGACCAAAAGAGTTGCATTTTACTTTTGAGGGAACAATTTGTTTTGAGGAAAATGAAAATGAATATGTCAACACTGACTTAATAACACACTTTCAGAAGAGGAAACTTGCCAATACTCAGAATTATAATAATCATTTTGAATAATTGTTTGCTCTTTTATCTTAAAAAAACATGAATGTTGAGTTGCTTCTCTTTTATTCACTATGCAGAGTTGCGTCCCTTAGTTGTGCCAGAATCCATTGCTTATGGGTTACAAGATTTGCCCTGATTTGACTGAAACGCTATCTGTGTTAAACCAAACTCATTCACAAGTCCTTGCAGGAATCCCTTTTGCAGAGATATTTTTGTGCAAGGTTGTGTTTCAAGAATAAATGACATTTTATTGCAACTGTCATTAAATGTTTTCACTGCACAATAGATTTTTCTCTGGATTTGTAAATATGTGGGACAATCTTGAGCCTCCTTAGATATGATCAATTTATGTTGTACAGATACTTGTGTACCCTACCTAAAGGCAGGAGGCAAAATGCAACTTGTCACAAGTGGCCCAAACATCAAAGGCCTACAATTTACTGTGCAGAGTTGCCTCCCTTGGGCATGCCAGAAACCTGTGATCACTTGTGTTTCCAGGTTTGTTAGTCACCATACCTGTGCTTGTGGGTTTCATGAAAGTGGTTAACATCGAAGACATGCGTCACTTAGGGCTTTAATCCCACATCAAGCTAACAAGCTTGGGTATGACCAGAATACGATCCAAACTAGTGTCAAACCAAACTCACTTTGAAAGAACAACACATATTTTATCTGAGATAAAGATCATATTTTCTGTCAAATAGAACTTTTTTCTCATTAACAAAACATAGGACGAAAAAAAAATAGTTCATTGACATTATGACATTGAAATATATTTATCACAGTAAGTGAAAGTGAATACAACGAACAAAGTGTCAATAAACAGTCCCTCCCAAACCTTCAGACATGGCTATGTCAGATGTAGGTTTTAGCATCTATAGGTTATTTTTAGTGGGCTACTTCATGCTTATGGCAGAGTTTGGTGACCAGATATTATGGGTTGGCCTTGATATACCAGTGTGCCTTGATGTACCAGGGTGCCTTGATGTACCAACTACTTGAGTGTGCTAGCAGGGCCTCTTATTGAGCTCAGAAAATACTCTTGCTATTTCTTCTTATAGCCATGAGAACAGATATAAATACATGTGTACTGCTTTTGTATACCACATAGTGGGAGCATTTAAGTAAAGATATATTCCTTGGCACCAGCCCTTCTTTGCGTTATGGTTGAAGATCCTTTGGAGAAAGTACTCTTGGCTCTGGGTAAGGGATGGGGGAGAGAGAGAATAAAAAACCTTGCTCATTTTCTTTTAATTATATCATCCTTTGTATACTGACTGATCTTCACACTTTAGTGGAGTTCTATTACCAAGATATATTAGCCAGGTTCTGTAATTATTGCTTGTCTTTAGTGAAGCTTTTGATGATCTAGTGTGACTTGTAAGTATGGAACAGCAATCACATGTACAAAAAGATTTCCTTGATGTCATCTGGACACACAGGAAAGAAGTGAGGTCTTACCCGCCTTGCGCATGTGCAGTGGCGTCTGGCGAGGGATAGGGTTTCCCTCACAACTATTAGATATGTTGGCAGTGAGGATGACGTACGTTGAAAATTTATTAAAATTTGTAGTGTGGTTCTCAGCATGAAACAGGAATTTATGGCTATGATGTAATAGAGGTAGTATTAGAAGTATACTCAATGATCACTATTGTGAGATATTAGGAAAGCAACTAACATACTTGTTTTGGTTACCCACCCATCATTTCACGTTATGTCTGTTGCTGAGAAGTTTTCAAGAAAAGTAATAAAAATGTGACTTGTAACATATGAGTGAAAATTGTTGTGACTTCAAAAAATACCATGCTGTGCATATAAACATGACTGTTTCTTGTTTCAGGCAGCTTAAATGAGAAAGGTGGACCGTCCTGCTGATAGTGGGTGATCAGTGGAATCATGGTGGCTGTGCTAGGACCTCATGCTGTTGTTGCCACAGGCCATCCTTCAGTAGTGTGTGATCAATGGGAAAGAAATGGGTGTGCTGGGACCTCATGCTGTTGTTGCTTCAGGCCATCCTGTGGTATCGTGTGTGGTCAATGGGAACAGAATGGCCGTGCAAGAACCTCATGATGTTATTGCTGCGGACTGTCCTCGTGTGAGTCTGGCTCATCCTGGAACAACTAATCTGTTCAGACAAGCATGTAGCCATGATGAACTAAGCGCAAACTCCAAATCAACAGATAGAAGCATAAATCTTGACATTAAACCTCAGGTGGACATGGTCCCCATCAGCTTGTTTGAAGTGGGGTTGAGCAGGACTTGTTGTTTCTCAATGCCGCTTGGCAAGCTGTGTGACCAGTGGTGCTGTCAACAATAATATCTTCATAATTACACTGAGTGCCTGTGCATTGAAGTTCTCAACATTAAATACAGTTGAAGAAATGATTCCTAGGAATATCAGATTTCAAGTTGGTCTCAGTCTTGAAGACATAACTTGACACAACCTTGGAAGACAGAATCTAGTTCTTCTAACTCAAGGACAAATGAGGATGGGTTTTTCTTAGACTAGTGAAACCAGAAAGTGCTTCTCAGTGGGAAGGACAGACCCAGGCTTGCGTCAGTCTAGGAAACGCTGCTGATGCAGTAGTCATGGGCTCAGATCCTCTGTTGGGAGGAGGAGGTGGGGGGTAAGTTGTTCTCCACAAGTCAGTGCATATCTGGTCCTCCCTGCGAGGCTTGACTAACTGGTACGGAGAGTTGCATTCTCAACTCTTCAAGTGAGGGATTGCACTTGGATATAATGAGAGATTAAATGTGAATTTTTCAAAGAGAACTTCAAGAACAAAGGACATGGTCTCTTCATGATAGAAGTGCATGTGATGGAATCATTACCCAAAGTCCTGACTGTCCCTGGCTGGATACCGGTTCTCAATATTTGGATGTTAAGTGCTGATTGAAGTGATGGAGTGGATCTAACTTTCAGAGTGCTTTCCCTTGTTTTCTGACTGCCATGTTGGATGCATGTTCCGTCAGCTTTGGGAAATTTTGAAATATTCGATGCCACGTTCCCTCCCTATGGAAGAATGTTTGCTAATATATGGATGTTCAGTACATTTGTATACGGAGTTGCTTGCAAAATTGATGACAAGATATACAGATATTGAAGAAATGTCCAAGTGTTAAAGGGCATTTTATAGTTGGTGCAAAGCATCATTCAAGATAAGGATTGCTAAGCAATATGGAAGCAGGATGTCTTATGCTAAATATTAGGTTTTTGAACATTTCAAAATTGGTAACATTGGTATGTTAGTGAATATGTACACATCATTCAGTTCCCATTGGAAAACACTTCTTTCAGTTTTAAAGTAAGGATATGCATTTATATTTTTTTTTACGACTTCCTTTTCAGATGGAACAAATTCAGGTAGTCTAAATCAAGCCTCAAGAATCAATGCCAAAACTGCCTTATGTCATCTAAGTAAGAAGATTGTCAACCTATTTTGGAATATCAATGTAGATACCAAACCTGTTTGAATATTGCTATGGATTCAAGTGAACTTGTTGTTTTAGACATGAAATTGCATTGTAAGTTGCATTATTCCTGTAAATGACTCTTTTACCTGGAATTCCTATCTAAAGTTCTTTTTGTTTGTTCATATTCACAAACAGCCAAAATGTTAAGTGATGCTAATACTTGTGCCTAAATTCACAAATACTAAGATTTATATATTTTATAGTTCAGGAAACTGTATTAAAACTCTTCCAGATTTCATAAGAGCACATGCAATCATTGTTCTGTAAAGTGTTTCCCTGTGAGTTGTCCAGCTTTGTTTAAAGGCTCTTGCAACATTTTAGAGTTCACCAAAGGGAGATCACTCTCAAGACATGAGGACACAACTTCTCCTCACCCAGTCACAAGGCTTTATTTGCATACGTTTTATTATTTGCTTAATACTCAGATCACAGATTATTGTTTTATTTATACTTCCATTGCTTTTGTTTTCGTTTTTCTATCCGCTTCATATCAGATTATTTTTTTTATTTTTATTTATGTCAGATTACAAGATTATCAGATTATAATTTACTGAAAGAGATTAATTTAAATTTAAAAATAATGTTTGATGCATAATGCAAATGTTCTCTTTGCTGACATTTTCAAATTGAAAATATTATTGGTTTTATTAAAATTTAATCTGCATTATTTTATTTTTTTATGATATATATAGCTTCTTATCATGGGTTTGGTACGGTGGTGATGCCTAGTGGTTGAAACGTTTGCTCATCACACCGAAGACCTAGTTCGATTTCCCACATGGGTACAATGTGTGAAAACCATTTCTGGTGTTGCCCGCTGTGATATTGCTGGAATATTGCTAAAAGCGGAGTAAAACCATACTCACTCACTCACTAATGGTGGGTTACAACTACATTCAAGTTGTTAAATGACATATTTGGTGACACTTCAGTTCCCTTACAATTTCTTCCAGAAGCTTACATTTTTTCAGTTTGATTATGTTTAAGAGATGAACATTTATTTAAGAGATAATCAAATATAGTTTTGTATGAACCACAGCTTCTACAAGTTTTTGATTGCCTGATTCCCCTCGGTATGATTTGTTAATGTTTGTCTAAGATTTGTGATACATTATAAGTGCTATGAATATATGTATATCAGGTGTGTATTGGATATATATCACCTGCGTGATGGAAGGTACTATTATCTTCACAACTGTGATCACCATTTCTGTTATTTTCATACCTGCATGCAAACGTAATTTAGTAACTCAGTTTAATTTCACTTTGTGTGATGTGATCACTCAAGCAACAATAATCTTATTCGGATGTCCACAGTAAAGAAAGTTTAATTTTTTATGGTTTTTACACTAGCCAGATCAATGTGTGTCTTTTAGGTTGCATAGACTAGGCAAGACAGTTTTTTTATATCAATCATATTCCATGACATTATGGAAGAATCGAAGGCCAATTGTGGTGCTTTGTGAAGTTGTACAGAGATTTTCTATGATGTCTAGCACCTGCAAACCGCATAATCATCAGTTTGCACGATGCATAATGTTATGTGACATACAAGCCATGTTTATGTGTGCGAGAGTGTGCCATTGATAGATTTCTGTGATACAGTTTATTCAGGATTTGCCACATAAGGACAGCAAAGTCACATCCATTTGGTTGTTTTCTCAATTTTTTTAATTAATTAATGGCAGTAATGTTCATATGAAGCTATAGGTACAATGCACACATTTTTAATCATCAAAATAGTTTTAGGGTCCTGAGCGACTTTATCATTACATACTACTTTTTTTATAAGGACAGTTTTATCTTTCCATTATACACAAAACTGTTTCTCATAATGTGTCAAGTGTATATTTAAATAGAATGACATTTCTGATTATCCCTATCAAAAGTTGACTACTATATAAACCAGAAAACTAACTGCTGAAAACGGTTACATTTCATACTCTTAAAGAATGAGCCCTGGTGTTTTGTGGACTTATTTCAGTCTTAAAGCGCATTTGAAAACCAGTCCTAGTTCTTTAATTACATTGGGGGTGGGTGTTAGAGATTTTTGGCTAAAAAATTCAGGTCCATAGGTGGAGAAAAAACAAAGAACCAATTTCAATATCTTTTTTTCTTTTCTTAAATGGGTGTGAGACGGGTGGGGGTGGGTGGCTGGGGGTGTAGAGAGGGGGTAGAAAGTAAGGAAATAGTGATTTGTCGTATTTTTAAGATTAACTTTCAAAAGGTATTATTTATAGTAGGTATTAGGTTTTGATAATACTTCAGTTTTTTTTTATATTGATCTTATTTCTGGATGTCAGAATGAAAACACACTGCTTTTCATTTTTTTCACATTTTATTTCCGAGTTGTCAGATTAATAAAACAAGTCAAAAACAAGTCTGTCCTCGCGTCTCTACTAAAATGTCTACAAGTGATTCTGCTATTTTTGTGTGGCTGATCCAATCCTCCATCTACCCAGTTTCTGTGAAGCGTTATGAAAGGGAACACAATCACAGAGTCTGTGTGTTTATATGTGAAAATGAAATATACACAATTGTGATTCCAGACGAATATTTTATACTTGTAGTTTTATAACTGATTGTCAATAATGAAAAACCATGTATACGTGTAGGGGCCAAACTGTCACTGCTACTATAAACACCACAAGGCTCACATCACCTGACCAGACAGTGGCCTCAATATGGAGAATTATTTCATCGAACAAATCCCGTATTCAGGCACTGTGACTGCTCAAGTTATATTGGGAAACTCAAAGGTGCCTTTTGCCCGAAGTCTATTTAAAAGTGGAAGCCTGACATACAGAACCAGGAATGAGATTGAATATATTCCACATATTTCCTTATCATTCCACCCTTTGCAAGTAGGGATGTGGAAAAATTCCACACATGTGGGTAACTGTAATGGGGACCTATTGACTGCAAGTCAGGAACAGAGCCATTGGCCCCGTGAAGACGTGGGTTAGAATTGGTCTTCAGCAACCCATGCTTGTCGTAGGAGGCGACGAAAAGGATCGGGTGGTCAGACTTGCTGACTTGGTTGATGCATGTCATCGTATCCCAATTGCGTAGATCGACGCTCATGATGTCAATTACAGGATTATCTGGTCGATTATTTACTTACTCGTCATATAACTGGAATATTGCGGCGTTAAACAACAAGCAAACAGGGCCATTTGTGATTCCCAGGTTCCCAGGTCTTGATTAGCTGCATATTTCCGTAAAATATGCAAATTTAATAACCATAACCTGATTAGTTTTGAGTTCCTTGCGAACAAATATACATGAATTTTTTTTAAAAAAGAAGCCCAATGTTGTCTTCTTAGCTTGTGTACCTGAATCTTTACTCATCTTTTTATACTGACTGAATGACAACATCACCATTACCACAGCGCTACTGCAGTGAATCATACACAAAAGTGCTTCGTCTTGCATATTGCTAGTGACACATATACAGCTGTCATGAGCTTATGCGACGTCTGACACATTTGGGGCGGCACATGAACAGAAGAAAATCAGACATTACCTGAAACAGCATTTATAAGCAGAATTATTTTTCAAAATGTCTACTCATTGGTTTTAAGATAACCATAGTCTTGATCCAAGAGAGTAAACTATATTTAATACCAAGAGGTAACCATCATATACCCAATGTGCATGATGATTGGAGTCCTTGGGTATGTACTCACATTATCTCGAACCCTGCCCCAGTGAGGTGAGGTTACTTTGCTGATAAAACCATTCCCCCATTCACATTAAATATTCAATATTAGGGTAACATGTCATCTATAGAAGACAGATATACTGGTTAAGTTGAAATTTGAAACTGTTCAGGCTAATTTTTGACGAACAATACATTTACTGTAACAGTATTATCCAGGTGGGGGCTCGGATTGCCCAGTCGTCTAAGGCTCCACGATTTGCTGTGCAGAGTTGCGTCCCTTGGGCATGCCAGAAACATATGATTGTGGTTCGGATTCCGGTTCGCCCGATTGTTTCTAGGTTTGTCAGCACCATACCTGTGCTCATGGGTTTCACCAAAGTAGTAAACGTCTGAGACCTGCATCACTTGGGGCTTTCCTCCCACCTTAAGCTGACATGCCGTGATAAAACTGGAATACTGTCAAAGGCGGCGTTAAACCCAACTCACTCAACTCAACTCCAACTATTATCCAGGTGTCCAAGAATTAAGACAAGTAATCTCTCCCTGTGACACTACCTGAAAAAGACTATGGGCAGAAACAGTTGCTATTCTTGGTCCCAGTTTGCTCATAGGTCACCAATATTATCCTTGATTATAGAGTGGTTTATATTTCCATTCTGTATATAGGCTGTACTTCTTCACCATAGCTTTGATTTGGAAGTGACGTCACCAGATCCAGTCACTAAGTTTGCACAGAATTTCTCTCACTCATATGCAATCAAAATTACTCCACTAAAGACAGTTTTGAAAACAGTTTTAAACGAACTTTTAACTGGAAGAAATTTTCATGACAACTAGGTCAAGGGGGAGGCTCTTTTGTTTCAAGACATTCCGGTTGTGTTTGAGAGGGCATGCAAAAGTGGAGACAAGTACTGGTGATGCTGCTTGTTTCAAACATGAAAGAATAGTGTTACTTGATTGGATGTCGGATTCTGGCATTCTGGCCAAACAAAGCTATAGTGTTGAATGGATCCAGGTGTTTATCTTAATGGACTGGATATATTCTACTTGAAGTTAAGGATGATTCTTTCATATTACTATAGTTGGGGGCACGAGTGGCCCAGTCGTCTAAGGCGCCGCGATTCGCTGTGCAGAGTTGCGTCCCTTGGGCACGCCACAAACCTATGATTGTAGGTTCGAATCCCGGTTCGCCCCAATTATGTTTCTAGGTTTGTCAGCACCATACCCGTGCTCGTGGGTTTCACCGAAGTGGTAAATGTCTGAGACCTGCATCACTTTGGGCTTTCCTCCCACATTAAGCTGACACGCCGCGATATGACTGGAATACTGTTAAAAGCGGCGTTAAACCCAACTCACTCACTCACTATTACTATAGTTTATCTGCCATGACATAGTAGACTATAATTTCAAAGAATCATATGGTCCTGAACTTGCTTTGAGTAGTATAAAGTACACTGGATAACATGATTGAGGATGCACCAATATGCAATACCGACTTGTAGTTAAACAGTGAGAGAATACCTGGGTTTCTTCACATGACTTGAGCGCTGGTCAGTGGGTGTCTTTAGGGCCATGTGACATGATCATATGCAAGCTTCAGTGCAGCAAGACCATCAGTTTACACGTGTGAGAGAGTGTGAGAGTGTGAGAGCGTGCAGTCATTTCATACAGATTGTTATTAGTTATCTGAGTGGAGAGATTGAGTGGTTTATGCAAATCATCTGTACATTTTGGTCCTCAATAAAATGTTTGTTATGAAGCAAAGTAGCAGTCTTGAGTACTTTTTCCTTTATTTAGAAATACAGATACTATACATGTCATGGAACCCTAAGTCGCAGAGTCGTCACTCTTCTTCTGATTTTATTGACCCATGTATACACAGGGATGAGCCGCCTCCGTGGTCTAGTGGTAGAGCGTCTGCCCGGAGAGCGGAAGGTCCGGGGTTCAATCCCCGGCCACGTCATACCAAAAGACGTAAAAAGATGGTACTTGTTGTGACCCTGTCTGGCGCTCGGCATAACGGGGCTAAAACAAGGACTGGTCGGCTCGGAGTCAGTATACTGTGTCTGAGTGGGGTATTCATGTTAAACTCCGACATGGTATCTCAGTGAGCTAGCACTATAAATCAGCATCAGTCTGGACTTATACAAGCAGCCACACAAACACACACACGTACATGCACGTCGCTACATAAGTGCAATAATCTTGGACGCAACGTTAATCTCTATTTCACCTCACCTCACATGTTATGGATTAGTATGTTTAGTGTCAAGACCTACGACCTAGATCGTGTTTGTTAGGTCATAGTGACCGAGCCTTGCATCACTTGGGCTTTACATGCCTTGATATATCTGAAATACTGTTAAAAGTGCTGTTAAGGTCTATGTGATGTCCAAGTACTGAATTGTATGGTGATATAGCCATAGTTATCCCAGCAGTGAGGATGAGAAAGCACCCCCACACTACCTTGTGGTTGTAATGAGATTATTGTTTGAAGGTGAGCTTCAGTACTATTAGAATATATTATCTAAAATTCACTGCTAAAAACATTGATACAAACGCCAAAGACACGGATCATGACCTATAAAAGTTTTCTGCAAGGTTGTCTTCAGTATTTGTAGGCTCACTGTAGACATCTTTAACCAGACAATGCAGGTCCAAACCAAGAGTTACCGTTATAGTAGCACAAATGACCAACTTGTGCTGGACAATGCCGGTCAAAACTGATGTTCTTTCACTTGCACAATAGACGGTCTTGTGCTGGACAATGTGGGTCAAAACTGATGTTCTTTCACTTGCACAATAGACGGTCTTGTGCTGGACAATGTGGGTCAAAACTGATGTTCTTTCAGTTGCACAATAGACGGTCTTGTGCTGGAAATGTGGGTCAAAACTGATGTTCTTTCAGTTGCACAATAGACGGTCTTGTGCTGGACAATGTGGGTCAAAACTGATGTTCTTTCAGTTGCACAATAGACGGTCTTGTGCTAGACAATGTGGGTCAAACTGATGTTCTTTCAGTTGCACAATAGACGGTCTTGTGCTGGACAATGCGGGTCAAAACGGATGTTCTTTCAGTTGCACAATAGACGATCTTGTGCTGGACAATGTGGGTCAAAACTGATGTTCTTTCACTTGCACAATAGACGGTCTTGTGCTGGACAATGGGGTTTAACTGATGTTCTTTCACTTGCACAATAGACAGTCTTCTGCTGGACAATGTGGGTCAAAACTGATGTTCTTTCACTTGCACAATAGACAGTCTTGTGCTGGACAATGTGGGTCAAAACTGATGTTCTTTCAGTTGCACAACAGACAGCCTTGTGCTGGACAATGTGGGTCAAAACTGATGTTCTCTCAGTTGCACAATAGACCATTCTGGACAGGACTCATGCAGCTCAAACTGAGAATGTTAACTTTGCATGGTAGACAATTCAGGCTCATTGCAGCTCAAACTGAAAATATTCCTATAAA